TTATTAAAGTTCAAGGGAGGTTTCAGGAACAGTCATAAACTACAGGAGAGGTTCTAATTATAATATATCCTAATTATTTATTCGGTTAGACAAATTTTTTATCGTTGGTTTGTTTTTATAAGCTCCTTCAAGTTAGACATGCATGGTGCTTAGACAAATTATGTATGAATAAAAGTAATTATTTAAACAAATTGGCGGTAAACTGGTAGCTAGCTAGCCTTGTTGCAAACCAATGTAATTATGGTCGATTTCATTTTGATTTTGGCTCCTTTCACTCAGTTTCAGAGAAGTAGAGAACCAAAAACGGATGAGAGAGTGGGGATCTACTCTGCACCTGTTTCCACTTTCCACCGATGCATGCATTGACGAGACCCTAGCTAGGGTCTGATGCATGCTGTCATTAGAACTAGAGCAGCGGTTCAATAGCCAGCTACGGCTAGACCGTCTCTCCCTAACAAAGAAAAATTAAATAGAAGAAGAGGTTGCGTAGCAGCAATCAAAGAAAAAGAAGATATCACCACTTTTTCACCAAGAATCTAAAATATACCAACGCCAGCCAATAGTTGGTGAGGGACTGAGGCCTGAGGGTATTCACCCAAGAAAAGAAATCGATGATGATGAATTGAATTTGCATCCATGTATTGGGAATCTCGTTTTCTTATTTTGATGATGTCTTTTCTGTTCTATAAATTTTGATGATGGGTGTAGCCGGCGCGAGCCAGTAGAGTTCAGTATTAATTGTAGAAATTCTCATTCATGCCTATTAAACTAACAATGAATGGCCGCCCTTTGATGGGAGCTAACAAGGTCAACTACGTTACAATCATAAAATGGGACACATGCCAATTCATAATGGGGTGTGGTCACAGTTCTCTCTACATCACATGAAGTGAAAACTGTTTTCACACACTTGAATTTGCCTTGTTCAAATGATAAAAGGCTTCAACACTTAGCATTTGCACTGCCAATTTAATTTAGGGACACGAAAGAAATGCCAGGCCCAGAAATAGCTCTCTGTCTGCTGCTGCTTTGACAATCCATCTTCTACCTTTTCCATATCCTCTCAAGTTTATACTAGTGAATAAATTATTCTAATAAAGATAACCCTCAAATCTCTAGGACCGTGAATTCTATACAATTACTATATGCATGGTTTATGGTTTATGGTTTATGATGAGGGGTGATTTGGCTCGATCTAGTAAATAGTGGACATGTAGACTCGACCTTATGATTGGATATCGATTCAACAGTTGTTGCCACCTCAATAGGGCAAATCACCTCGGGTACCTCAGCTAGGACCGAGGTCCAAGCAGCTCATGGTGCTTTCAACTGCCAAGGTGACACATAGCCAATTTCTAGAAGCTAGTCACCTGTTTCCAAGCTTCACGGGATCACGCCGCATGTCCTTAGGTCTTATCCTCATTCCGCCTGGATCGGACGGAAATGATAAGTCTTATCAGTTAGCACGATATCCACCTCCCAGTGCGGAATGGACTCCTAACAGCACGGTCTAAGGATCTCAGAGGTGTTTCATGAGGCCCACAGCAACTCACCTATCTAAGGGCATCTACCCCAGTGGTACAAGGTATGCGAGATTTACTGCTTACTAGCTCTCATACTCTCAAGTTTTCAACTCGCACACAATCAATTACTAAATTAAGCATCGGAGCGACCACGCCGGGTTAGCCACCCTAGATTCTTTGATCCTTCCTGTCTTACAGTTCGACCAGCTAGCTAAGCAACCGACGGCCAAGCTTTGATCCAACTAGGAACAACCAGATCACATACCATCAGTTCAAACTAGTCAAAATTTAAGTAATATTAGGTTAGTTGCATGCACCCACGGAATTGAGGCCAGCACATTTAAGTTAAGGTGATATTCATTAAAATTTCACGGGGGAAGGTAGAGGTGTAAAGTGGGTCGTGTCGGGTCGGCATGGGCCATGCCGTCCTCCCAGGTGGAAATTTTGGGGGTCGGCCCGGCACGGCCCAAGCCTAGGCGGGCCTAGGCTAGGCTGGGCTGCGGGCCATGCCGTGGGCTTGGGCGGTGCCGGGCTGGGCCACAGGGCGGGCCTTGGGCCTAGGCCGAACTGGGTTGTACTGTTATTTTTTTCATTTTTTTGTTTTTTTTTTTGAAATTTTTTATTTCTTTTCTACGTAAAATTGTAAAACTAAAATATTTAACTTTCCTATGAACTTTGGGAATTGTGAACTATTTAAAAAATTAGGTGATGAAGGATGATTTGGCCTGACCTATAGAACGGCAACACGTGGACGCTGACTCAGCGTAAGCGACGGCTCAGCATTGTGGTCCAGTGCGGCTAAGTGATGGGCCCATAAAGCAGCTCGCTACATGGTAGCGGGGGAAAGGAGGGGCTCGCCATAATGCGAGCTCCAGGTCCCCCAAGCTACTTCAAGGGATATTCCGAGGCAAAATTTAACATGCGAGATAAGAATGTCAGCTCGCCCGAGCTCCCGAACAAGGCAAGTCATCCGAGGACCAATTCTATTAAGGGTACTTCTGAAGTATTCGAAGCCCGTTGCAAAGTAGCCTGCGAATGGGCCGCACGAACATTCCTCAGGAAGCTTCTATTTAATAGGTCGTACCAAGTCAGACTAGGCCACATCCCTAGCAGGCTGAATGCGAACTGCTAGGGGCCTAGCAGGCTATATCGTGGCAAGCCGTGCTTCATGCCGACACACGGGCCACAAGCGGCACGGAACGTACTGTCATGTCATGTCGTGCCAGCCCATGGGCCTCGAACCCCTGGCCCAGCACGGCACGGACCTCCGTGCTAGGCCTGGCACAGCTCGTGCGCCTTCGTGCCGTGGCGGGCCGCTTACACCTCTATGGGAAGGTAGCGGATTAAAAAAACATTTGAAAAAAAAGGGATAGTAAATAAACTTTTATTCAACCAAAAAAGAAGAAAGGGCCCATATAAAAAATTAAAATAAAAGAGGTTTTTTATGTTTTCAAAATCAGAAAGCGACCTTTTTAGGTATCCTGTTCTGTTGTCTTAAATAGGTGTGATGTCTTTCAAACGACAGGGCCCCACTACATTTTTGAAACACACTACATGCCTAGTAGTAGTAGTGTTCTGCATGTTGAGCCCAATGAGCTGTGGTGTGTTTCAAAATGTTGGCACTTACAATGCGTCTACTGTTTTGGGTAAGATGGATGTACTGATTCAATGTCAGATAAAGTGAGAGCAGTATGGTGTGGTTGTGAACAAAAGAGAAAAGCGTGTTGCAAAATATGCCAAATTTTGAGTTCTGGAACTCCAAAGTGCTGATTTAAAAAATTGGAGAAGAAAAGAAACGAAAAAGTTTTCCAAAAAACCTGTTCAGAAGAACTCCCACTGCCTCCCAATAGCCCAAAGGCCCTAAACATGGTGTCTCTTCATGGACAATGTTACTGATAGAACCGCAGATGTAGGCTGAGCACTTGGGGAACTGGGATAGTCATTCCCTTTCAATGGTGAATTGAAGAAAAGGCATACACATTGACATTCCCATCCTAATGCTCAGTTTGGCTTCAGTCAATGCAAGCCCGTACTCACACTGTTAGAAGTTCCAACGGCCTCTTACAATCTTACATTAGCAATATATCCCCATGAAATAAAACACTCAAGTATGAAAATATTCCCAATGCAAAATTGTAAAAGACTATTTGAACAGACTTTACACTGAACGAAACTGGACTATTTGTAAAGAATACAAATACAAATATGTATAGGCTATACAACAAGTTCAGGTGTTCAACCCATGGTTTTTAAAAACGACCTGAAGACCAAACCGGTCAGAGGTCCAGTTACCAGGTCAAACGGTCAGCCCATTCTGACAAAAAATTTAAAAAAATGGTCAAAACAGTTCAAACGGTTAACCACCCGGGTCAATGATTTACTGACCAAAATCAACAGCTTTGGACAAATTTCCGATTTTGGGGAAAACCGAAACTGATCACCTGACCAGTTCCCAGTTTTTCCAGTCCGACCGTCAGATCCGGTCCGGTTTTGAAAACCATGGTTCAACTCTTATCGGGTATTTAACTTATGAGCCCCATCTCCCTCTTGAGTCCCAACTCCCAACTACAGTCATAACCACCAAATAGAAAAAGAAATAAAGAAAAAAAGATGGAGCGAAGGGCGCAATTCCCACGTCCCCCTCCCCCCTATCCATTCACTAACGAAGGTAAGGGTTCCATGGTTCTTTCGTACTCAACAAAATCCGGAATAATTTACTCGAAGTTTCAAAATATCAATACATCCAATACGCTGATAAGGGCATATCAGCCTGTATAAAAGCTCATTTCTCCTATATTTTTTGGTTTTTCTTTAATCTAATTGAGAGGATTCGGTTTAGGACCCGTCTACCCCAAAAGGGTTGCTGGAAGCCTGATAGTGGAAGTGAAAAACTAAACGAGCGTTGGTGTATGGGCCTCTGAAAGACAAGGGGAATCATGATTATGACAGATAATGCACAGAAGTTATCTAGGGATCAGGGACTCGGGGCGTCAGGTCAAACCAAGAGCAGTGACGTTGAAGGAGGGTTCAGTCCCGCGTTGTAACCATCAAACCTACAAGGTCATTTGATGATTGAGTTTAACGCAACTTGGGCCATTTTGATATTTTCATGTTGGTAGGTACTAGAGACATGTGGCCACCATGAAAGAAGTCTCATTACAGGGCATAAAATAGGTTGTCAGTGCGAATGGTGTATGGAGGTACAAGGTAGGCCGAAGCAGTCTAATCTCCCACACTGACGATGAAAACTCATTCACTAGACCATATAAACTCATAAAAATTCATCGCAGATATACGGTTGAATGATTGATGAAACTTCCAGTATCGTAACCATAGCCATCCACCCCGAAATGTTGATGAATATTCATTGGTTGAAGTACGCCTTCGTAAAAAGCGTCAAGTGTAGGATATCCAGATTCCCTACAATGGATCCTGTAACTAGCCTTAATAAAAACAGCAAAACGAGAAGAATATTAATGAGATGGAACACAAATGAAACTTTAAGTAAAAGCCAAACATTAAAAATCAGCAGTTTCAAGATCCTAAATCATCCCTACAATAATAGCACTTCGACAAAACCAAAATCCGTTTATAATCCCCTGTAAAGGAAAACCTATCCCTTTAGACCCCTAAAACTGTTTATTCAAAATCCCGTAACTCCCAAATAGTAGTACGATGCTCATGTATGCAAAACCATACCCACTAAACTAATTAAGCATTCAGGAGACAAGGTTATCATTCAGAGAGAGAGATGCCAGTTGGTCAGTTGGACTAACGGACTGCTGCTGCTGCTGCTGAGCAACATTCCTCAGAACTTCCATTGCTTCTGCAACCTTGGCTTTCAAGGCTTCTGGAGACTCAAGCAAATGCAAAACTTCGGTTTGATCCATCTCCAGAAGCATACCTGTCACCTTTGCTGCCATTTCGTGCTCCAGCTGATCCACTAGAGGGTAAAGGCTTTCACCGAGCATCTGCCCAAATGCAACCCAAAATGCAATATTAAGCCTTCCACTTAGACATACAAGTGATTGTTTTTGTAAGAACATAAAAAATAATAACTTACCGTCCTCTGTTGCTCAGGTGTTGCATTTGCTAGGGCAGAAGCCAAAGCCCCAATGGGAATAGGCTGTGTAATCGCAGCAGCATCACGTAATGGCATGCCACCCATATCATATGGAACAGAGAGCATGCTACCAGCAACTCCCGGCATGGGAACATCAGGAATGTTACGACCAGGTGGATATCGGTATACACGTCCCCTTGGAAGCATCTATTACTTCATAAGTCAGAAATAATACAACAAATGCATTTTTAGCACAAAGTAAAACGGAATGAATAATACCACCTACCTGCGGCTGAATCAGCGGCACAGGCTGCTGGTTTTGTTGTACAGGTCCTGCACCAGCCCGTCTGCCACCTGGACGTTGCCCTGGCTGGCCTTGCTGAACAAGTGGCACAAAGAAATTTGGCAGGGGAGCCCCCCCAGGCCTCATCCCAGGAACGAGTTGCTGCTGATACCCAAATCCAGGCTAACATTATTGTAAACAGAAAATTCATCAAATACCGATGGTATCCAACCTCAAAGCATGAGATAATATAGCTATTAATTCGGTCTACAATGAGGAAAATTTTCTTCAAGTAGCTACTTGAGACATGGTGAAGTTCAATGAGTCACTGAAAAATGAAGATTACAACCTTTTTGTATAGTACAAAATGGATGTGAGCTTTATTTATCAGTAACCTTTATACCGGACTGTTTTGTAAACACACCAGAAGTAGCTGGCTGCACTGAATGACTTGTGTTACTAGTTTGGAGTAGGGGGTGATCATGGGCCAGAATGGGCTGGGCCTGATTCCAGGCTTATGTCCTTTATGTATTAAATTATGTATATGTACAGCTCAGACCCCAAGTATTAGGCTCAAACACAGGGCCGGTCTTGAAATTTGCAGGACTGGGCCTGAACAAAAAACCAAGGCCCAGTCCACAATTTCAGGTTGGGGATGCGAGGGCTAAAAATGATCCCACCCCCCTAAAAAATGATTATTAAAATACAAAAGTATCAAGTAACAAGACATTATAAAATAGGCCCTTGACTTTTCAAGAAAAACTCTTCGGCTTTTCCATTCAAGGACAAAAAACACATTTTCTCTCCTTTTCCCATTGCTAAAACAACAAATTCAAGACCACTGATCAAAAACAAAATACAAATTAAACCCCAAACCTTCAGACCTCCATACATCCCTTTCTATAAATCTTTGACATCTTTTGGGAGTACCACGTAGCATTGATGTCATGACCGATGTAAGAGCAAGGATCTTGAAGCAGTGAATAGGAGGCTTAGAAAAAAAAAAATCAGGTTGGGTGTCTCATTATGCAAAGTTGAATGATAATGTCTACTCATAAGAACCACTCACTTGTCAAACAAAATGTCTAATCTTAAGAATTCATGGATTTCAAACAACAAGCAAAGAGAGAAACAGTGAATATAAAAGGCAACAAGGAGATTTTTCTTGGAAAGTTCAAATATTATGTCACTTCAAGAGTGAATATGGAGAACAAGTGCACAAAGGTTTTCTTTCAAGAGTATAGAAAATGCCTTCACTTGGGGCATGCACTTTCTTTTTTGATAGATCATGCACATTTTTTTGTATTGGTATCAAATGGAAAACATATTATTAATTCCAAAACTGCATTATCAGAGAAACACTTAGTTCAAATGTGGAAAATACTCGGTACATGAAAAAGAATTCAGGATATAAGGAAAAAATATCCATAAAGCCACAATTAAAAGGTATGCGTATAAAACTTTTCAGGCTTTCAGGCAATGAAGTATAAATTATTAAAAGAATGAAAAAAGGAATAAGATGAACTAATAATTTGTAGGACTACCTGTGGAGGAATGAGTGGTGGCCCTTGCCCATAAAATATTTGCTGTCCAAGACCTGGGCCACCAGGGGGATACATTGGCACACGAGGAGCGACAGAGGGTGACATTGCAACAGGTCGCATTTGTGAAAATTGTGCCTACATAAACAATAAGATATCATATACCCAATCATGATTCAACCAAATATGAAGAATACTAACGTTAATGAAGCACAAAGAAAAATAATGAGAAGCCTCCATCATGGACAAAGTGACAAACCTACACATAAAAAGAACATATAGAAATGCAACCAAACAAATGGACAAAACAACATATAATAATCTGTAGGTCTTGATTATTTTCTGAACCATGCACAGAATTTCACCATCAAATGTAATGATCTGTCACCAAAACTTTCAGAACAAAAAGATTCTATATGGCAGTGGTTTTTGGTCAACATTAGAAGAGAAGATAATGGACTGAAATGAATATTGTATTTGTTTCTTTGCTGGCTGATCACTCATCACCTTCTAGTTCTTCTTATCTTTTTCACAATATTTGAACTCTCATTTTTTAATTAATATCAAAAGAAATTGCAGAACAAAAAGAAACTGCAGTGCAGTTCCGCAACAATTTCTATCCAATTACCCCTCTGGCCCTTTACTTGCATAACAAGTGACACCATGACTTTTAAAAGTTCCTCAAGTCATGAGACAACATATCATCATCCCATACACAAGAAAGAAATATTGATATGTGCAACAAAGTTAACATGATATTATGATAACAAACAAAATAAACAAAATAAAATACAAAACAAGAAACCAATGATGTGCAACAAAGATTCACAATCACAGAAAATCTGAAAATTCCATAAAGCAAATAAGATGTTTAAACTAAAAATTCTTTCCATATGATAGCTCGCACAGCACAAAGCTAACATGGAGTGTTATTCAAATGGGCCTGCAATATAAGAATCTCATCAGTCAAATTCAATCAAGAATTACTACCAAAACATACCTGCAGCCTTGCTCTTCTATCTTCTTTCCGTTGTGCCAGTGCAACATATAGAGGTTTACTGACAATCATTTTCCCATTCATCTCAGCAAGCTAGGAAAGAAACAAACAAAATAGTGAGTAAATTAGTCTATGATTGTTGTCAAATTGTCAGAAAGATGCATAAGAAATCTACTCACAGCTCGAGATGCTTCTTCTGGAGCTGAGAAAGCAACAAATCCTGAACCTCTGCTTATTCCATTAGGGTCCCGCATGACCTGATAACATTTCCTCAAAGATGTCAATAGCTATCCAAAAATTTTAAAACTGTGATCAACTAGGTTGTTTATTCTTGTTCACTGAGAGTGAAACAGACCTTGCATGAAGTAATAGTACCAAACTCTGAGAATAATTCCTTCAGTTTATCATCTCCAATGCTATCATCTAAGTTCTTCACATACAAGTTTACACCTTGATATTTATCAACCGCCTCCTTTGCACTCTGCTCAAATCGTCCTTTTAGTTCCTGCTCTCTTTCAGATTTTTTCTGTGCTTTCCCTACATACCACTCTTTATCATCGAACTTCTTTCCATTAAGTGCATCAACAGATTGAGCAGCATCATCCGCATTCTCAAAGTTGACAAATCCGAAACACTTGGATTTTCCATCCCCATCCCTCATCACTACTGCACTAGTAATTGCTCCATATTCACCAAAAATGTTCTTTAGATCTTCATCAGTAGTCGACTCCGAAAGATTTTTTACAAAAACGTTATTGAACTTTGCCTTGTTTATAGCAGATTCCCTCTCCTGCTTACGAAGAAATGGTCCAACATAAACCTGTTTATCATTTATCAGCATGCCATTGAGCTTGTCTATGGCATTTTGGGCTGACTCCTCGTTATCAAATTGAACAAATCCATACCCTTTTGACTGACCAGAAGGATCAGTAGCAATCTTGCAAGACAGAATGTTTCCAAATGAAGAAAAGGTTTCATGCAGACCCTTGTTGTCAATTGCCTTGTCAAGATTCTGCAAGATAGAGTGATTCCATAATATTTTAATAGAAGAGAATATTTTACACAAATTAAAATGTATTGAAAGGCAGATAAGACTACGAAATAACCAACCAAACACCACTTAAAAAGTACCTTGATAAAAATATTAGCAGTGCCACTTTTACGGATGCTAGGGTCACGATGTGAATACATAATGCGGATAGGCTTGCCATTGAGAGGAGTGAAGTTGAGTACATCCAATGCCCTTGCAGCTGACACAGATGAGAAGAAATTGAAAAAAATGAACTCTTTTCTTTTTATTGCCAAAAGGGAAATCCATTGTTAATTTAGTAAAATGCTTTATTTAAGAAAAGTTCCATAAAGGTACACATACAACTTTTAACATGCTTGAATGTGACATATAAAACAAACCAACAGTTGTCAATACACATAGAACTATTACCATTAGAACTACCACCAAAAAATGAGGAAAAAAATGCAAGAGGAATAGATGCCTTGTGGAAATCAACATTTATTCCTGAAACTTATTGGATTTTTTTTAAGAGAAGCTTTGCGCTTATATTCCATTCCAATATAAGAAAACCAGTTGTAATTAGCAGCAGGATATTGTTATAAAATCACCCACACACACCAATAAACAAGAAAAGGATGACAGTTTTACAGCAGCAATATGAAAAATAAGCATGTCAGTATTTGACATGTTCAAGAACCAAACCTCATATACAGTATAATAGCATCCAAACCACATATACACTACTAATGCAAAAATGAACAGAAAACTCGATGGAAATATGTGTTAAAAATTAATTATGAAAGAAGCATAAGAGCATGGCATAATGAAAGCTTTAGAAAGGAAAAACAGTAAATGCTATGCTACAACTATAACTCAGTGAATCACCAATTGCATCATGCAGGCACCAATTTCATGCATGTCAAACCAACAATGGCAACATGTGCATCAAGGTACATGAAACAAATAGTAGTAAAATACCTCTACACATTCCAACTATCCAGAAATTACATAGATATTTTTAGATTAGTATAGTATCTGCTGCAAATACTGTTCTGATCATGGAAGAAATAACAATAATTACAACCAGTCTTATTAATGTGGTTAGGCAATGAGCCAATGAATAGCCATTTTGGCAAACTACTTGATGTGATGACTAGCTTGTGCCCAAGTACTGACTAGTCCACCAAGAAAATTTCCTAAGATTTTTTATGCAATCTCATGTGTAAGTTATACACTGGAAACACACAATAAAAGAATGATATCAAATAATGTTCCACAATTTAGCAAATATACAAATGAAAAGATGGATACAGTGTGTTAATTTCAAGAAAGGATGCAACTTTGACAATTTGGTGTTAACCTTGCAAGGTGCCAACCAGCTGGTTGGTAAGGTTTCCTGCTGGTCATTGCGGAGACTTGGGATCAAATCCCACCTGCATCTGGGTTGGGGGATGGGTTACTCTGTTGTACAAGATGTCAAAAAAAAAAAAATGGAGTTCATCCTTGACTGTTGAATCTTCGCACCAGCATAAAACTGAATAGAAGAAAACTTAACTAGAACTCCTCCCCAGTGGTTTAAAAGCGCAAGGTGCAAGGGTCACACCACAAGGGGCATTGTATGGACCCTCATAGTCATAAATAGAAAACATGTTTGCCTTTTTCAAACACATCACAGATTTTTTTAGCAACGGAACACACCACAGATTGTTGAGGACAATTGTACATAAATTTCCTTTCTATCTCCTAGCTTATTTGACATAAATAAACAGCTTCCTTGTAAGACCAATGCCATTTTTCATATCAGACACCACTTAGTAACAAAGATGGCATTTAATGCAGGCATATAATGTTAGAACTCGATAATAATATGAATAATTTTAAAAGTGTCCTTCTCCATAGACATGTCTGTCTGTCCGCGTTTTCTCATCTTGCCAAATAAGACTCTAGGACACGTGCTGGATTCCAACACCCTATATCTGTGTCCATTCAACACTGACCACAAGGAAGAAGATACACCAGAGGGAGAAATTGCTGTTTCTGTGAAACAGTATAAAAAATGAAAGTGATGATAAATACCCCCTTTTCTATCAAACAAGCAACCAGAGGATAAGCAACCAAACTGGAACACAAACTTCAAATGCCAATCTGACAACCATGAACTATGATCAGATTATATTATTGGAAATCCTGAATACTGTATTTCTAAAAAGTGGTGATAGAATACATCTGAGGAAAATTTGCCCCAGTGAGTGCATGAACCCCTTCTCTCCAGAACTGACAACCATGAACCATGATATTGGGAACCCTGAATACTGCATATCTAAAAAGTGATGATAGAATGAATCTGAGGAAAATTTGCCCCAGTGAACGCATGATCCCCTTCACTCCAGAATCCAGATATTCACCTTAACTAACAAGCATATTTACAGACATTCAAATTAAAATAAGCCAATCGGATCTAGGCTTATGAGTTGGAACGTTGTCCTTTAATTTAACCATGCCTATACATGGATAAAACTGGAATAAATATGTATTCTAAAGGAAGGCAACAAAAACTGCAATGTTGTTCATTAAGTATTTCTTTTTAGAGATTTCCATAAAAAAACTCTCCAATGTAATGTTTCAGCAACATGGTACTAAAAGAGATGCAGAGAAAGCAGTTGGCCATGCCCTCTAAAGACAAGCATCTTTACAAGTCTTACTATCTTTACCACTTCTAACACATTTTTAAATTGCTTAGGTGGTTGTAAAACTAACTAGGCATTTTAGCATTTAGAACTGCCAAACTATCAAATGGATTTTCCAAGCTAGTGAGCTACTACCTAATGTGTTCGCTAAACATTTTACCATTTTACGAGCTATAACTATATGTTGATTATAGGCATCTAAATGCTAAAAACCACGGAAATGAAATGGCTGCACCCTTAAGTAACTTCCACGTACTCTCTAAACATCCCACCGATTAATAAAAGACCGTTAAAATCATAGATATAGTGGCTATGAATACCACGAAGCCCTTAATCAATATAGGGTACAACAAACAGCCAATAATGTGTGCAAATCGGAAGATAATGCAAAGGTCAAACTCAATGTAATCGTCAATCAGTACAACTTAAAGTTAAGCGTGACGATCATAAGGAAGCTAACACTTCAATTTTGCAGGTCAAGCGTGTAGAAATCAATTTAAAGCATTTCGCCAAGATTTGAAGGAGAGTAGAAAACAAATCTCATAAGAGCATCAAAAATTCAAGATTAGCGACAAATAACCAATTGGACCTTCAAATCGGAGAACATTATGAGCTAAATAAACATATCGGGCCAAAAGACTAACCATCTTGGGTGTTACTGTAGTTAACATAGGCATAACCAAGGGACCGTCGGGTGCTCAAATCCCTGCAAACGCGAACGGACACGACCTGGCCGAGTTGGCTGAACAGATCGTAAAGCTGCGAGTCCGTTACATTGAGTTCAAGGTCTCCCACATAAAGAGACGTGGAGACGAACTGATTGCCGCCGGGGTTGGTCGCTCCATTAGGACCAGAGAGAGGAGGTTGTGGTTGGACTTGAACCTGCGCCATCGAAAACCCTACCGATCTCGAATCTCCAAAGTGTCTCTCTTTCTTCCTCTCTCTCCCTCTCTCCTGCTTCCCTCTTTTTTAATTTTTTCTTTGTTCCTCCCTCTCCCCTTATTATTGGAAATGAACCCTAGAGGAAATTAAAAAAGAGAACACTATCTGCGCTTATAAGCTGAAACAAATGAAATTAAAGAGACAGCCTCACCCAAAACTCGATGAAATACCGAAATACCTTCAAGACTCTCGAATTGATTGAAATCGAACAGAGCTGATAAAACTGGGACTATACTCTCTTCTCTCTTCTCTCTCTCTCCCTATTGGATATTTTTCTGGAAACTTTTCTTTTTTTGGACTTTTTGAGAATACTAAAAGAGGAGAGGGAAGGATATAAAGGGGTAGATGATCGTAGATCCGAACGGACGGATGAACGACGACAAGACGCAGAGGAGAAGATGAGAGACGATAGTTTTTTAGGAGGGCAGCTCGAACTGCACCGCACCGTCATTATCGAGCGCTGCAGCTTAAATATCAGGGGTAGGTGAGTGAAAAACCCTAATTTTAATTTGCCTACGGGATGTCCATCGTTTGATCTTACACACCCCACCACTAGACCTTACAAGTAGACTGACCAGATGCCTAACCAACGGTTTTCAATACCGCCTAGGCCCTAAGGTTTCTCTTATTTGTTATTTTATCATATTCACATTTCTATTATTCCAGTCGCGCTACATCTCATCGTAAGAACAACCAGGTGCCCCTCTAAGGTGCCAATGTTTAGATGATCTTTATGGTGAGATATACTTGAAGGTCCTCCATACACAGAACAAATGGCTATTAAGCGGAGATCATACTGCAATTATGAGGAGGTCGCCTACATTATAGCCTTGCTCTTTTTTTATTATCGATATCTTTATTTAATAATTAATTTTTTAAAGAAAACCGAAGTAACAAAACAGTTAACTAACTTGAAAATATGGACCTTATCCAATGGATGGGGCCTGGCGGAAAGGAAACGTGGCAATTGACATTTGACGGCCCAAAACGACATGAAATTACAAAAAGGACCATCTTGAAAGGCTGTTTTTTCCGTTTTCTTTCTTGGATAAATTACACAAAGGCCTACCCCCCTGAATTAAAGAATGAAATGAATTAAAGACCCAGCTCAGTTTTAAAATCCTGGCACTTAGCCTCTTGACCCACAAAGGGGGTTGACAATTCTAGAGTACATTTGTTAAATTGTCAATTCAAGATTCTATGGGCTAATAGTAATAGGTATTAAATGGTGAAAACAACCATTGAACATCATTCTCTAGTTCATCTCAATATGAGTTTTGTTCAATAAAACCAACTAAATTTTATGTTCATAAAACCAACTAATTTTATTTACAGAGAAACATGTGAGGGATATATATATACACACCAGCGGGGACCCATAGAATTTATTAAGCGAAGGTTAAATAATAGAATTGCATAAGATTATATAATTGTTTTATATTTTTAATTTTTTAAACAATTCATAATTATTTCAACTGCGATATGGGAAAGATATGATATTTGAAATTTTTTTGACCAATCAACTGGTATCATAAATGTGATAGCCAATCATATTTTATTTACCAAAATTCATGGGTGGATTTTGATTGATGAAAACTCTTCCGATACCATATCTTTTCTACATCATAGATTTTTCCTTATATTTTATATATTACTTTTAATACTTTTTTTGTAATACAAAAATAATAATAATTAATTTCAACTAGGGTTGTTCATCAAACTGATGAAATCGACCAACCTGACCAACTTGAATCGAATTGGTTGGTTTTCTAGTATTTTCCGGTCAACTTTGGTTCAACAATTTCCCAACCTGAACACGTTGGATCAATTTCACTTTGGCCATTTGTAAATTGACCAAAATCAAACGACTTGACAATATATATAGATAGATAGACAGATAGATAGATAGATAGATAGATAGATAGATAGATAGATAGACAAATTATATTTTTAATATAATTATTTTAATACGGGAAAGTGGAAAAAATCTCATATTTCTTAATAAAAAATATTTTATATCATAAATTTATTTTTTAAATAATATTTTTTAATAATGCCACTATAAATTTTTAATTTGTTTTAAATTTAAATCTTTTGAACCGATCGACCAAACAAAAACAAAAAAGACCCAATACAACCCAAGTTGTCCAGTTTTCACTAATGGTAAGTCAACTTTGGGTGACCAACTCCCCAACCTGACCAGGTTGATTTGGTTGGTCAAATAGCCTACAACAAAATAGAACCAACCCATAAACACTCATAACTTCAATTAAATTAATAATTTAATATGCCTGTAATAAATAATAATAGTTTAATCTCCAATAATTATTGAAATTTTATTGCAAAAATACACAATTATTAAAACTAGATTGATAATGAAAATACAATAACTAAAAAAACAATAAATACTAAAAATTATATTAAAACTAGACTGAACAATAAATACTAAAAAATAACAATTTAATCTCTAATAAATATTAATCAATAAATTATAACAAGAATACAATAAATTAAACTTAAAAAGTTAAACAACAATAGTTTAATCTCCAACAATTATTGAAACTTTTTGTAAAATAAAAAATAAAAATAAACTTGTGCATAATTATTGAAAATATATTTATCACAAAAAACAATAAATAATTAATTAAAATACAACAAATATTAATTTTAGTATATATTAATATATACTAAATATAATTAAGATTTTAAAATTATTAATAAATATTAATTTTTTGATAGTTATTTTCTAGAACTATTAATTAATATAAGTGAAATTAGTTATTTACAATATTATTTAGTTATTTAAATAATCTCATTATTTAAATTTGAAAATATTAATTATTAATTGAAATTAATAGTACATAAAATTATAATTTATACTATTATTACATAATTTCGTTATTAATTTTATAAAATATTAAATTATTATTAATTTGAATATTATGTTACAATTGTTTATCTAGTTTTAAGAAAATTTTTAAATCTAGTACATAATTTCGTTATTTTAACTGTTTAAAATCTAGTTATTTACATTTCTTTATTTAAAATATTTAGTTATTTAAAGATTTAAATAATAAATAAAATAATTAAAAATTTTTGTTATTTGAATTTTATTTCTATTAAAGTCATTACATAATTTAGTTCTTAAAATATTTAAATAATGTTTTATTTTTTACTGTTATATTTTTATTATTTGAATAACATTTAAATTGAAAAAACCCTAATTTATATTGTTAGTACATAGTTTCATGATGTATTTTATAAAAATATAAAAATTATTAATAATATAAATATTATTAAATCGATTATAGTTATTTTTTGTGTTTTAATAAATATTTTAAAGTTATTATATAATTTTTTATAATATTTAAATGAATTTTAAATTTTTTAATTCAAGCTTTCTTTAGATAGATATAAATAAAAAGTGGGAGAGAGAATAAATAGGAACTATAGATAATTTAAGAGAAAGTGGGGGATAATGGGAGAGGTAGTTTAGGAGAAATTTAAGGAGATGATATCATTTGGGTTATTGGGAACGTGTATGTGTGTGCAAGGGGAGGGAGGGAGAGAGAGAGAGAGTAAGAATAATCACACCTTGATTTGTTACAAGATAAAGCCAATCACGCTATGCAACGAGCCACTTTGACATCAAGATAGAAGGAAGGCGTGAGTAATAGATTTTGCAGTCAGTAATTATAGGGTTGATTGGCCACAATGGGTTGTGTTGTGTCTATCAACAAAAGTTGAAGTATTGAACTATAACTAGACCTGTTCATGGGCCGGGCTCGGGCCGGGCTTTTACTGTGTATTAACAAATTTTTTTAAGGCCCGAGCCCGAGCCCGGCCCGACCATCGGGCCTACAATTTGGGCCTGAGCCCGGCCCTCATAAAAAGCCCGAAGCCCGAGCCTGGGCCCGGGCCCGAAATTTAGCCTATATTATTATTATTATTAATGTTGAAGCAGCTGAATAAAGAGAGAGATAGA